GTTATATACTTGTGATTCTAGAAGTCTCATATTTGTATAATACATGTGTGCTGCTGCGACTTTCTATGGTAATTGTTTAGTGATTCAAAGCATAAGATACTGTGTCTGCAGTATCAGTATCGTATGAATCATATGAAACAAGAGCTTGGTTGATGCTGAGCATGCTTGGGTGTTCTTAAAAATTACTTTTCTGGGATAAACTTATTTTCTTGGTTTTGATAGCGAACTTTGGAAATCGCCTTTGGTAAAATAAGCAACTTAGAAGTAACTTTGAGATTTGTTGTAAGCTTAGCCAAACATGCGGTAAGACAATTTTTGGCATTCTTAACTTCCACTTTCGAGCACAGATTGTTGGTGAGATCAAAGCTGCTCGAGAAGCTCTAGTCAAGGTAACATCAAAGCTAAGGAGTTACATTTTTAGAGAGTTCCTTGAACTGGATGCTCCAACTCCGGTTTCTGCTCCTAACCCTACAGAGGTGGAACACAAAGAAACTTCTAGCAACAGTATTACTCAAACTCAAGAAATTCATCCGGGGAATAGTCCAACCAAATCAACTCATCAGGGTACACCAACTGTAGTAACAGAACAGCAAGCAAAAGTAAGTAATTTAGCCTCCCTTTGGGAAGAATTTATAAATGGTTTTATTTATAAATAGACCATTTATAAATGATTTATAATTTTTGCCAAACAGACACTTATCATGCTTCTTTCTTCTGAAATCACACTGTTTTTGCTGTTGCTGCTTCTATTGTTGTATCTTGACTGCCTTATATTTTAAAATTTTCAGCCAACAGTAATTTCCGTTCCATCCTTTCTTTTTTATCCATGAAGCCAGATAATCGACCATTCCAAAGCTTCACAAATATGAATTTTTTTACTGGGTTTCCAGTTGGGTAAAATACATCGGGTTAGTGAAATTTCATGTTGGTGGATTTCATTTTGTTTCATGCACTATTCTAAAAAGCATCCCTAGGAGGCACCTAGGGGTTGCCTAGGCGCCGGCTCAGTCAAAGCGCTTTGCCTGGGCATTAAGCACGAATTAAGCGGTCAATTGTTATATTGACTGCTTAATGCTCGCCTTGGCGTGCTTTATTATTATTTTTATTTTTTCCTTTATTTGACTTTAGTTTATTGATTTTTTAATTTTTTTTTTCTTTTTTAAAAGGCTTTTATTTGACTTCGTTTCAAGTTTTAAATGATTTCATTTGTACAAAAGTCAAAAATGACTTTATCTTTTATAGATAAGATTTAAGTTACGGTACTATCTATATTTTGCAATTATGATTTTGAGATTTATCTTATTGTTGGAAACTTCGAAATTATATGTGAGTTCCCTATAAATTTGTTAAGTAGGACTTATCTAGTTGAAAATTGAAACTATGAAAAATTGTCTAGCATTTGCATTTCGAAAACTTGAAAATTGTATAATTGACTAATTATATGTATTATTAGCTAAATATAGAATTTATTAATTTTAATTGTTTGATATGTATTATTTTAATTAGTAAATAATTTTTAGAATGATTAAATATTTAATATAATAATAAAATTAAGTAATGCTTTTTTACATCTATGCCTCATCTAGGCTAGCCTAGCTTCAAGCTTGACCTCTAGCCTAATTATGCTTTACGCTTTTTAGAACACTGGTTTCAAGTTGTTTGTTAAATTTTAACTTTGTTCTATTTTATGGCACATTGTCGTGTTTGTTATTCGTCTAACTATGGGACTGAAAAAGTGACATGGCTATCTGCTTATTTGCCAACTGGATTGCTAGGTCAACTTTTTGGTTAGTCAAATCAATGGACATGAATGACCAAGTTGCAACAAATATTTAATTTCAGTTACCAACTTGCAACAAAATGAAGTTTAGTGATGAAATTTCAGTGACCACTAGATGACTTGTTTCCTTCGGGAAGGACTTTGCTGCTTGCATTATTACAATCATCCAATTTTGTATCTCCTTATTTTCACATTTAAAAAAATTACTACTTTATTTGCAGGATGTGGGGCCCTCGGGTAGTGAATCAGTGAAGCAAAATGGAAGTGAACGTCGTGAAGATATTCCTAATATATTGAATAGGTAGTAAATTTTTGTTCATTTTTCGTCGGGTGGAATTTCATGTTAATATTATTTCATATTCATTTTCTTTTTCCCAGATTATCTGTACCACTCGTTACTAGAAGTACATTGGAAATTGTTATAACACCAAATGTGGCATCCAAACTCGTAACAAAATCAAGAAACAAGCTCACTTTTATCAGTGAGGTGAGTCGAGCATCTGTGGTTTGTTTTCTTTTTGATATCATTTTCAGATGAGGAGATTATACAAATCAATGACAAAAAATTTGTTGCAAACAGTTATCAGGAGCGAATGTTAAATTGATGGAAGATAGACCAGAGGTAACAGAGAAGATCATTCAAATATCAGGGACTCCGGAGCAAGCTGAGAGAGCTCAGAGCTTGCTACAAGGATTTATTTTGAGCAGTTAGTCCCTTTCTCTTTCTCTCTTCCCCACCCCACAATACCTGGAGGGGGGGGGGGGGAATGAATGGTACCTATTTGGCCATTACCCTTTCTCACTCCTACTCTCTTGCCATGTCTGGTAAGATTGAATGCGTAGTACTAGTCAATATTGGGCAAGAAAAAGAATTTAAAATCTTGTCTATTAAGCCCTTGTTTGAGCCCCATTCTTTTGATAAGAATGAATTTTTGAATAGTGCATTGATGAGAAATGTGTGGTTAAAAAATAAGGAAAATTTTTGGAATTGTGTGTAATATTATTTTATTGAAGAATGTGTGGTTAGAATGATGTCAAAACATTGTTTAAGAATGTTTCTTTTTTCAAAGAATGGGTATCAAACAGGGGCTAATATTGTTCAGTCCTATAAACTAAGGGTCAATTTTGGCATGCTAGATTCGACCATTTAAGTAATTTAGTATTAAATTATAAGGTACTGCACTAGGTAGATGGTATAATGGTGGATTAAGGTTTCATTTTTATTTTATTTTTATTTTTTACATTCAAAAGAATGTCATCTTTTCTAATCAAGCCTAAACTCATCTCCAACCTGTGTATTATTAATAGTGCAATGATATTATTTTTAATGAAAAATTAAACAATGCTAACAACCTTAATCCATCATAATACCGTGTACTTAGTATTGTTCATTATAAATTTATGCTAAATTTCTTATACGGCCTATCCGGTGAATGCTGCTTACTGCATGCATACATTTTTGGACAATTATGTAACACTGCACCTACTTATTCAGCCGAGGAAGATGGCCCTTAGATGTCGTCAGGCGGGCAAGACTCCATTGAAGAGGCAACTTGTGACTTCTATCAGTAGCCTGAGTTTTCCATTTCCAGTCAATATTTTATGTTCTGCTCCATTACCCAAGCAGTGGAGCGGCTGCCTTTTCGTAGAAGAAAGCTTTTTAACCAGCATGTACAAACTGAAATTGCCTGTCATTTAAGTGTGATGCCTAGAACTCCCTATGTTTGTATGGTGCAGTTTACCGAGTTTTCTGGATAGATCCTGGAACGGATTAAATACATGTTTTGTATCTGATATTTGTTTCCAGATAATTTTTTTGAGATAAATAGCTTTTGTAATGTGGATTATTTTGAAGCTTTACAAGAAGCTTTATTATTATTTTATTTAGAATCTTAATTATCACAATGTTGGATATCATTGGCAGAATTTACATCATTTATCATTTATTTAATAAAAAATGCCCCCCTATTGATTATGCCTAAGGGTTCTAAAGTGCTCAAGTCACATCTAATTGTTTCTAAACAGTTTCTGTGCTTTCAACTTCAGTTATCATCTGTCACTTTGTCTCCTTGTGTTTGAAAATAAATGATATTGAAACAAGGCAAAGTACATCATTAATTACATGATAGATCTAGAAGGGAGATAAGAGAGCCATCTAGATATAGAGATTCTGTTTTTCCCTGCCATTTTGTCCTATCATAGCTTAACTTTTAATAAGCCATAGTCCTATGATGAGGTGTGAGTAGAAAACAATTTAAGAACTGGCATATAACAGGAAGAGGAAATGAACTCTTTAATAAAAAAATTGGGGGAATTTACAAAAATGTCAGAAAAATTAATGAAAGTTAAAAAAAAAAATGTCATTTTCACTTTTTGTGAGCAAAAATGTCACTTTTTGGAGTGCAAAGTCCAAAATATCCTTAATCACACATTTCTAATAGCATTAAATGCTTGATGTGAAGGAAAAGCATTGACTTAATAGAAAACATGGATAAATGTGTATTTTATTGATTAATATGAATTTTTGTTAATAAAAAATTACCAAATAAATTAGAAAACGAAACATAAACAAAAAACCCTACCTCTTTTCCATCTTCTTCATTTTCATTGATCAAGAAGACATTTGTGTTGCATTCTATATCCACTTTGAGAGGTTAGCAATTACAAATTAATTTATATTACTTTTATAGCTTTGTATTTGTACATATTAAATACAATATGGGCATATTTATTTGAAATTAATTTGCAAGTATTATTCATTCATTTGTTTGATTTTTTTGAATCCTTAATAAAATGCCATTATCACCATTTAGTAATTTCTTCCATTACCACCATTAAGGTCTCTTTAATGACAAGGCCAATATACCATTTTCATTATGTCATTTGGTAGGCGAATAATAATGACCACACTTAATATGATGTGTTGAAGAAACCTCAGAAATTCACTGTCGTCTGCTTTCCGACATTCTCGACAGTTAAACTGTCGAGTTCGACATTTACAAATCGTCGGGTTAGACGTTTGAGATGTCGAACCTGACATTTCGAAACTGCCGAGTTATACAATTTTACTTTCAATTTGGATACTTCAAAACGATACAAACCCTTGATTTGAACTTTTGTTATTGTACTGATTTACGTATTATGAAGTGTGAGTTTCATGCTATTAAATGCCAACATATTGATTCCGAATTGTTACCATTGCAATCCCAATATTTCAAGTATGAATAATCATTTGAGATTCGTCGTGTCGCATGGGGGAAATTTTGTTCATGCGGATGACGAATGGAAGTGGAGAGGGGACAAAACTACTTCCATTCTGGTGCCAAGAAGTATTACCGTAGCCGAACTTATGTTAAGGTTGAAGAAGAAACTTGGTATTCTTGATCCCCGCGCTCAAATTGAATTGAAGTTCAAAGTCCCTAACTTGAATATACCTCCGGCTGAAATATGCGACAATGAAGATTTAAATTGGTACGTATCAATGCATAAGGAAAGTGCTATCTGCGTTACTGTTTTGGAATCCGATCTCCCAAGTGTTGACATGGGAAGGGATGCAAATTTTGAAGATCCTTCGTTTGCCACGGTAGATGTTCTGCAAAACGTGGAACATGATTTGGTGAATCGGATGCATAGTGTCTCAAACAATAATGCACTTGAAACACATGAGTATGATAACGGGAGTGCACCATTAGATGAGAACTTGGATAACCCATCACCTAGTTTAGAGGCTTCTAATTCTGTTGACGTCGAGGACGAGCACTCTTTGTCACATTCCAACGATTTGGATGGATATGAATTTATGAGAACCGTGACTACATCCGATCTTGCGGAAAAGGAAATATTCTTCAGCAAGAAAGAGTTGTACTCGAAAATTCGTGCACTTGCTTTGAAAAACAAGTTTCAATTTCGGGTGAGCCGGTCAAGCATGAAGATGTTAACCGTTGTATGCGCCGACCGCAGTTGCAAGTGGATGTTACGTGCTTCTACTGTGAAGCAGTCTGCAATCTTTGTGATCCGTAAATTCAATAATGTGCACACATGTTCCATCGATTTTCGCAGTAATGCGCATCGACATGTGACGAGTGCTGTAATTGCCAAGCATATTTTCGAAAAATTGGATAATCCAAACCGATCGTATGATCCGAGCACTATTGCACGTGACATGGAACGTGAGCTCGGTGTCCAAATAAGTTACAGCAAGGCACGTAGGGAAAAGGTGGCCGCTTTACATATGCTGCATGGGAAGGACAGTTTTCAGAAACTATCTTCATACTGTCAGGTACTAGGTGAGAATAACCCGGGGACGGTAACCCACATCGAACTTGATTCGCGCGATAGATTCCATTACTTCTTCCTAGCTTTTGGTGCAAGCATTCGTGGTTACATGCAGTACTTGAGGCCCGTTGTTTGCATTAACGGTAGTCACTTGAAAGGTCCATACAAGGGTACACTTTTACTGGCAACTGCTCAAGATGCCAACAAACAGATTTATCCCTTAGCGTGGGGGATTGTGGATTCCAAAACTAACCGATCTTGGATGTGGTTTATGTCTAACTTGAAAGATCTTATAGGAGACTCAGATGAACTTGTATTTGTTTCGGACAGGAAAAGAAGTATCGAAAGAGCTATTACTCACTTATTTCCTTTGTCTCGTCATTGTTGTTGTATGTGGCATGTGGAGAAGAACCTAATTCAGCGGCACTTTAACGCAAGTTCAGTATTCCTGTTCAAACGAGCTGCTACAACTTATCGGGTCGAAGAGTTCAAACGACTAATGGGACAGATTCGTAGGGTGAGTGAAAGATGTTACAGGTATTTGGAGAAAGCCGATTTTTCATTCTGGTCACTAGCACTATTCGTGGGCGACCGATACAACATTATGACAAACAACAACGCGGAATCATTGAACTCAGTGCTGAGACATGCTCGTTCGTTGCCAATCACGTGTTTGGTCGAGCACATTCGTAAAACAATGCAGAGGTGGTTTTACGAACGTCGAAGCAATGCAACCGCATGCAGTACTATATTATCGTCGAGGATGGAGAACTAGTTACAAACAACATTTGAAGCTGGTACTAGGCTTCGAGCCCATGAGTTGACAAACAGCTTGACCCAGGTTGGAATATCCAACGATACGGAGATAATGGACTTCTCCAATAACAAGTGCACATGTCGTGAGTTTCAACTAAATCGTATGCCATGTGCTCATGTAACTCATGGTGCTACCCTGAGTGGTAAGTCATTATACAATCTATGCTCTCCGTACTATACATCGGAATACTGGAGGGGTGCCTATATGGAAGTCATATATCCCGTTACACGGGAAGTGGATTGGGATGTTTCAAATGAAATCCTAGGCACTCATATTTTGCCACCGACTGTACGCCGTCCTCCAGGTAGACCACCGACGCGGTGTAAGCAAGCTAGATACGAGTCCACTTCCCAACTGAGAAAATGCACTCGATGTGGGAGACTTGATCATAACCGGACCACATGTTCGAACCCTATTGTATCACAAGCCACTTGAAGAAGCGTGATGTGTAAAAGTAGTTGTCAAATGTAATCCCCGAAAAACTTAATTTAAATATGCATTGTACATTCCCAACTTATTTTATGAATCTGTTATTATTATCATATGCCAATGCAAATTTGGTCGTTATGTTCCGCAAGCAAAGTACCAATCATTACAGTTCCATTATCACGAATGAGATGAATACCTTTTTCGTACTATAAACTTAGCCGATCATAGAAGTTTCATTAGCTTCGACTGACAATTTGTCGAATTGGAAAATTGATTTTCATGAGACCATACTGAACAAACAAAACACCAACATTACATCTCGACAATTCATATGTCGTTCCCGACAAATATTCTCTGTAATTCTCGACAGTTGGGAACAACAGCGGCTTGAAAACCTACACTACTGCGGTTGCCTATTATGGAGATGCAGTTTTTGCACGTATCCAAAGAACGTGACCAAAATCATCCATACCACAAAATACGAAACATATTTTCCTACAAAAGGGCCATTTATTGCACAGTTACATTGCTTTTGACAATTTAAGAAGCTCCCCCACTTTCCCCATCAGACTCCTCTGAGCTAATGACAATTACTTCTGGAGGTGGAACATGAGCTACCCACTCATTCGAGTCGGACGGCGACTCGACCGGACCCCTAACCTCGAAGACTTGATCGAGAACGCTGTTCGGTGACTTAGATTCTGCACTTGACACTTCATCGAACTCGGCACCATGCTGTTCAACTCTTACATCCTCATCGTCTGACAACAAAGTGATGGGAAATTCAGCGGATGAACCCAGTATGGGTGGATGCATATTGGAGTTGAATGTTTCATTGCTAGATGTGGATGAACCCATTATCTCGTATCAACTACCTGTTTCAAAATGGAAGTCTCACAACAGCTTTAATGACATCTGAAATGTAATTTGATAGACAATGCTTGTAATGCATTCATTTTGTAAATATAAATGTATTGGAAATACTTGTTACTTGCAAAAAATCATAAACGTATAATATCTACAATAGCATGTTACACTAAGACACTTGTATTGGACAATCCCACCATTTTCAATTATCGAAAAGCAAGGAACTTATAAAATTTAATGGCCCGCTTAGTTGAACTGTCGGGCCCGACAGATGTTTTATTCCTTCTCGACAGTTGACGAAAACGTGCATTGCAATAAAGATCGTATAATTTCGAATTTTGTAAACTGCAAAATAAATGAAGAAGAATAAATAGAAGCAGCTCTTTCTTACCACAATGTTGTTCAACTACGTTGAAAGTGTCACAATGATCTGTAAGTAAGTTCAAAGTGGCACAATACCTTAGCTACAAAATTGATTGTAAGCAACAATGGTCTCCTGGTATTTATAATCATCCTGAAAGGAGGAAGTAATTACTTCATTTATCTACCCAACCACCAAGTTCAATCTCTAAATAAATTTGAAAAGCAATTGTTGTGATGGTTGATATAATAAGTGTACCTTTATCCCCCATTGTACCATCATTACTATGACATTGGTAGAGACTAGAATACTTCAATGATGTGTAAAATTCATGTTATCTGGTTGCTTGCAAGAAATTACTTCTCATTTGCCAGCTTCTTATTTGCACCATGGTTGTAATGGTACAGTTTCTCATAAAACCCACTCATCATGTTAACCCACTTAATAACATACGAAGGACAAGGGAATATACAAAAACTCATTTGTCAATTAGTTGTACCATGGAAATCATGACTTTGGCACTTTTAATGGGTCCTCATCTTAATCCAATCTATAGTTTACTAAGGAACCACGACATTCAAGCCCGCTATCTACTCGTAAATGGATATTCGTAAAACGTACGCATACATAATTTTTTGCGCAATACAATGTACGAGCGTTGACGAACATTGAATGAAGGCACTTAGTACCGTAAGTACGATTGACATAACATAATAAAGACGGATAACTAATACAAGTTGTAACACTACAATAATTTAAGCAACGGTAAACGGTGACAAGGCATTCACCACAGGAATTGCAAAATGTGATGAATGCTTCTAAGTGTCACCAAGCTTGCCAACTACCCTGTCTGATATGTAAATCACAAAAATGAATGAAAAAGGCACCAATATAACGCGAAGTAACTAACATCCTTCAACACGTAAATTACATCAAACAAAAGACAAAAGAATGCTGAACCTCGTCATCGTGCTATGTTCGGCAATTTATCCACAGTTACTTATGTTCTTGCTTTGCGCTTCCCCTCGTGTACGGAGTCCTGATAGTAGGTGCCGGACGTCGCAGTCATGCTGATCGCCGTCTATTTGTCGTAACTGCCCCTCCTGATCGGGATACATTGGCGAGAACTGGAAAAGTTACAACGTAAGCAAATGAAACGAAAAATAAATTCAATTGTCAAAAATTAAGCAATACCTTGCACTTCATCCACTGCAGCGAGCGCTAGCACGAAGTCATTGTCGGGGCATGGCTCAATGTGTACTGTGTCTGTCGAAAAGAACAATTAAATATTTTCAGTGTAAAACTACATGTACGAATTTTCAAATTATGCCAAGTACATGAAACAACAATCTACAAGTTTTCCTCATAACTGACCCACATACCTTGCAGATTTATGGTAACGATGTCCTACTCTTTGTCACGTTTGCTAGGCGATGGGTGGTGGGCCCCTTCGACTACAACAAATGAACAATTGTAAACTAATCGAATGCCTGAAATAATATTTGTTCAAATCGTGAAAAATAATGCAATACCTTGCACTTCTTCGATTGTAGAGGGCTCTGGCACGGGGCGATCCTTCGGGCATGGCTGAATGTGCGCTATGTCTATTCAGAACAACAACGAAACAGCGAATGGAAAGTGAATTTTAATAATTTTCAAAACTTCTGAAACACTTGAAATGATAATTAATCAATTTGCTCAAAAGTAACCGACGTACCTTGCAGACTTTCGGTTCCAGTGGCCAGTGGCATATCCTGCTCGTCCAGGCATGGTTTCACGTGTTCTTCATTAATGCACATACCATCCCCCTCTTGCCTGTCAATCCTCATGTCTTCATCGACACCGTTAGGCGATGGGTGGTGGCCTGCAAAGCCTCCATAGTCTACAATGAATGAACAATTGTCATACAAAACATGTCAGTGAGCAGGGATAAAGTGAACATTGTCATAAAGAACTGTAGTACGCATACGGTGAAGTACCTGATTGTCTGGGCTTGGGGTCCACATCAGTCGCACATGCAGTGGTTATAGAGCCAGATGCTGGGACGATGGTGGATATGAAGTCCTTCAATTTTTTAAATTCATCAGACATGTGCTGCATGAGTTCGAGCTTCACAGTGCGGAGCCGCATTTTGAACAGAATTCTTTGATCTAGCAACATGCCCTGAACATCGTCTGCTGTGAGGCTTGATCCAGCCGCTGCAGTAGGTCGTACATGAGAGGTGGACAGTGCCTGCATGGGAGAAGTAGCTCTATGCTGGTGGGGGGGAGTCCCCATCTGTCCACTTCGTCCAACTCGATCACCGTCACTATCCTCACTGTCGTCCTCCTCCGAGTCCTCACCTTCGTCCTCTCCGCTCTCATCGGCTCCTGACTCTTCCTCCTCGCCACTAGTCCTCCCACCGTCATGGGCCTCCTCAGAAGTATCACCCTCGGGGGTACCTATACGCTCTGCTTGGAACTGCGGAGCAACACTGTCCCTAGCAAGGTCATCCAACGCAGGGACAGGATCATCATTGAGCAACACAAGAGTTGCGATATGAGGTTGCCCACGCTCAGTTTCGATGGGCCGCAGTGTCGCGTACACATGTAGCTACAACATGAACATATTCGTTACGAAATAACCACATGCTACAATGACGAATGGAAGGTATGAGATCGTAGAAGTAACATAATTTTTTACCTGTACATTCTTGAAGAAAGCATCGTACGTACGCTGCTGTGGCTGTTTTGTTGATGTCCAGCCGAGAAGCCGTGGGGAACGTTCCCCAAGACGCTCACCAAAGCGATCACCAATTTCAGGCACCGCCTCGAACGCCCATATCTGTTACAATAAAAAAGGAATGTGAGTTCAGAATGAAACCAACCACGAAATACATTTGCTTTGAAATAATTAGTAGTTAAAATAAAGATACTTGTATGGCAATGGGAAAGCTGTGGACCGTGTAGCTAACTGCCTTTTCCTTCTTCTTCGTTGCATCCAAAAATTTTCTTGCCCAACAGCCCCGAAAGCCCTTTATCAGCCATCCATATGAGATTCTACCCCAAGGATACGAAAAGAACAAGTCTAGATCGTCGACGATCGACAACGTCTCCATATCATACCAACGTTGTTATCCGGAGCATTGAAGACTCCTTCGATGATCAAAGCGAGGTCAAGCTTGTACCGATCGGCTCGAGGCGTTGACGATCGAAGAAATGTCTGCTCGAGTTGGGCGCAAGAAATCTTGTCCACATGTTTAAAGTATTTGTCCTTTAGTCTCCTCTTCTCAAGAACTCGGTCCATGACATTGTCATCCGGGGGAAGACCACACCTTAATCCAGTCACAAGGGCATACTCTTGAATTCCGAACCTAGCGAGGTGGCTTTGCAAATTAAACCACAATTCGTGCCGCTTCTTTGTTTGTATGCAGTAGAATACGAGTTGTTGGATTAATTGGGCAGAGAACTGGAGATCTGGAACCTCGGACAAGAACCCAAGGCATGAGTTGTGAAACTCTTCCCGCTGTCGCTCGTCAAAATGTTCCACGACTGTTTTTATATACCGCAAATTGCTTCTCTGCGATACGTGGCCCCGCAAGCTTGCATTCTTTGGAACAAGAGGCTCGAAATCCATGTCTACAAAGACAAAATAAGAAAAAAAATGCGGCAGACCACAATATAAACTTCCTCCCAGCATTGAAACGGAAGATATGCCCACATCAAACATGATTTCCACCAAATGCATATGAGTACCAACCATAGTACTTCAATAAAATAGCCCTAATTCAGCCCACTGA